TTTAGTAGCTTCCTTGCTCCTAGTAGGCCCTAGTAGCGTCCTTGCTCCTAGTAGCGATGCCAGGAGCCCCTAGTAGCCTCCTTGCTCCTAGTAGCGATGCCAGGAGCCCCTAGTAGCTTCCTTGCTGGTAGCGATGCCAGGAGCCCCTAGTAGCTTCCTTGCTCCTAGTAGTAAGGCCAGGAGCCCCTAGTAGCTTCTTAGGTCAGACGTTCCGTGTGCTTCCAGTGTTTCCAGGCCGATGCACGTGTGAGCTCGCCGAAAGAGTGAGGGCAATCGTGCAAAAAGGGGCACACTGCAGCTGCAATTGGCAGTGAGGAAGTGTGGACATTTGCTTGTTTGGGGCCGCCAGTCGGAACAAACAGTCTATCATGACCTATCATAGATTATTTCCATCCATGATAGAGGGAGTTCAGAGTTTGCTTGTTGGGAGTTCCAACCGAAACCTAAGTAGTCTTGAGTAAGGACCTTAAGTTTGTTGATTGCTACTTTATACACTTCTCCACTTCGGCGTTATAGCAATCTTGGGTGGTACTGTTGCGATATGCTCCAAGGCTTGTGCAGTTCTTTTCCTGCGAGAGACTTAATGCTGATAGTATGGGGTGCTAGGTTGGAACAAACTCTGGCGACTGTTTGTGAGTGCTTGCTGCTTCCCTTTTTTGTTGAAGCACAACCATGCAGTGGATCCCAGCTGCCTTCAAAGATGAAACCAGTGGTTTTGGCTTGCATAAGTTCGGTTTGAAAATCCTTAGGACAAATTCAAGTGTACTGCAAGTAGTTTTGGGATGGTTTCTTGTGGCAAAAATTCAAGTTGTTGTGCCGCTTCTTGCAATGAACACCCACGCACTTTTTCCAGGCCGTTCAGGCGATCCAAGTCCCGCCACCGAGAACGCTTCCCAGAGCCACCTGGATGCGCTGTTTTTTCCACAAGGGTCGGGCATGTGCAACCCTTTGGACATGATCCCACAGCAGAATTGACCAACACTCAGTCCTTTGGGGGAGTTCCTCGGTCCCTTTGGGTGACCGATGCATGAGCTTTTGTGAGCAGCATGTGACGTTTTATGTCGCAGCATGGTTGGCATACCACTGCTTGTTTGGTCAAGTATGTATGGCTGAGCTGGGTGCAAATCCCTCCAGGACATTTCAGATCTTCTGAATTGAACAGTTAAAATCGGATATATGTATGACACATAACATAAATATTGTTGATGCATGACCCCTGCGCAAGGATGACATAGCTTTTCATGTGTGCTGTTCGATGCAGCCCTTTTGAATGGAGCGAGAGAGCTTCATCAAGACCTTGAAGGAAGGTCAAACGAAGACCCTAGGTCACCAGAAGAAAAGGTGCGTGTTTTCCCGGAGGGTTTTTCACATGCAGCTGGCTTCGATTCGGGATCACGACCATGTCCCACCAACAGGTTATGAGCCCAACGTCAGAACTTTCTTTACCTCACCCCTCCATGCTCCGCCGGCGACGAACCATGGAGCATGATGATGATGGCCGCCTGGCCTTGATGCCGCCTGCGGAAGAGCCTCGAAGCGACGAGCTGGTGGCCAGGGCTGAAGCTTTGGAAGGTGATGGAAAGAAAGAAGAAGATGAAAAGAAAGAGTTTAGCACCCCGGCTCGTTCGACGACAGGGGTGGGGAATACTGGAACAGGGAAGACTGAAATGGAGGTGTTTAAGAGTGGTGGGTCAAAAGAAAGTGTGGTTGAATTGAAGCTCCAAAAGGAAAGCCTACCACTCTGGCCCCTTGGCACCACCAGCACCGCAAGTCATGCAGCCCCTGCTCACTCAGGAACAGATCAGAGAAGCTAAGGCATCCGCTCGACTTGCTCCCCAGCTCTTTGGCCCAGGTCTGATGCCGTCCTCTTCAGGTGATGATCGGCCTACTCAGGTGTCTCGCCCGGCCTTCCTGGAAGAAGAAGAAGAAGAAAAAAAAGGGAAGGAAAGAGAGGAGGTAAGAAAGAAGGGTATAGAAGGGTGGTGGAGATGGAGGAAGAAGAAAGTGAGGAGCTGAGAAGATGTGAAGAGAGCTCCAATGACCCTCGAAGGACCCGTCGTGATCAAGAACGGGAAGAAAAAGAGGAGGACATCATGTGGCGCTGGCAGATCTCTCAGGATGTGCGACGGCTCACTGATCTATGCCATGCCCAACAACGTGAAAATGATTGCCTTCAGCAGGAGCTCTATGAATGGAGGATTGAAGGTGAAGACAAGAAGAGGTTGGAGGTTGAAGAAAAGAAGAAGAAAGAAAGAGAAGAAATGGAAAGACCAAGAAGTGCCTCCAACTTCAACACCCCTGATGAAGAGGGACCGAATGGGATTCCCGGGACTGATGACCTACATGCCCGAGGACGCACACCGTGGTCCACCTACCCGGCTCGCTATGGGGTCAAGGGTTCCAGGTCCCGCTCCAAAGAACAACAGAGGAAGGGTCGAAGTCCATCCTATGGAAAAGGGGATATGAAGGGGCCTAGACCTACAACCGGGGGAGCCAAACTGTCCCCTGAAGTTCAACAAATGGAGGTGATGACACTTCTGGTTGAAAGTATGAAGTCCCTTCAGAGGCAGATTTCAGAGGGACAAGAAGCTCAAGGAACGGTGAAGGGGGTGGAGATTTTCCGTCAAGTCGCTGAACTTCCTGTTCTACATCCTCTACATGGTTCCACCTCGCAATTGCAGCTGGGTGATTGGCTGCTCTTGGTTCAGCCTGTAGTGGCTGACCTGACGACCACCTCTGACATCTGGTGGGACCGTATGATGACTGAAGTTGAGAAGTGGTACCAAGACCACCAAGCGATGGCTCCTTTGGATCGGGTCAAGCATGAACCTGTGCCTCCATCATCACTCAATGTTCCAAAGTGGGCGAAGCTGGAACGGCGAATGGCCACCCTGTTGCTGAAGGCAATTCCAGAGGTTCAGAAAGATGAACTGGTGGCTACAAAAAGGTTGTCGGTTTTCGCCATCCTCGCACATCTTCATGTCACCTACTGCCCGGGTGGCATCAGCGAAAAACAGATGCTCCTGCGGAACCTCGAAGATCCAACGGAACCAGGAAACCTGCACGACACTGTGGTTGGCCTCCGTCGATGGCTTCGCTGGCGTGCAAGGGCTCAGGAGATTGGAGCCACCGAACCTGACCCGTCCATCCTGGTCAAGGGTCTGAATCGTTTGACGAAGCGAGTTCTGGATGGCAATGAAAGCCTGCGATTCCGGGTGTCCTTGGCTCGGAATGCTCTTCAGGTTGACACCAACCCCAATGCGCTCTCGGTCAGCCAGTTCGCAACTCATCTCATTGCCGAGATCGAACAGCTCTCCTTGGCCGAGAAGCGAAGTGGTGCAACTACGAAGAAAGAAGAAAATAAAGTGAAGAAGATTGAGGAGGTCAATAAGAAGGCCAAAGGAAGTGAAGGGAAGTTGAAGGAGATGGAAGTCAAGCCGCCGTGCAAATTCTTCCTCAGCGAGGCCGGATGTCGTCGTGGCCGTGATTGCAAATGGTCGCATGACCAAAAGGATGAACACAAAAGGTGTTACCTGTGTGGCTCCACGAAGCACCTAGGCCCGAAGGAAATGTCAGGTGGAGCTGCTCCCAACTCACCACCGAAGGTCAAGAAGGAAAAAGAGGAAGAGAAAGACCCAAAAGGCGAGGAAGGAGGAAAGGGGGGTGGAGTTCAAGACGATGAAAAGATGGATGAACTTCTCGCTGAAGCCAACAAGATGCTCAAAGCGATGAAGGACAAAGAAGCTTCGGAAGCCAAGCTGAGCCGATTGCATCAGCAGCTTGATGAGATCAAGAAAAGTATCAAAACCCTGAAGTTGACCCGGGTTCGCGAAGCGAAGATGGGGTCTCTACAAGAAGAAGAATGGGGACTCTTGGATTCTGGTGCTACGCATCCCTTGAGGCCTCTTGCATCTACGGACAGCCTCGAGAAGTTCAAGAAGGTCTCCGTGTCTCTGGCTGATGGCCGCACGACACCTCTTTTGATGACTGAGTCGGGGGTGATGGTTTCAACCAACCTGCAAGTGGAACCGATAGTGCCCCTTGGGATGTTGGCCGGTGGAGGATGTAAGATTTCATGGAAAAAGCATGGCATGAAAGTTTCCCATCCTACAGAAGGATCTCTGCCTATCAGCATCCAAGCGGGATGTCCGCAAATCCCAAGCAGCTTGCTCTCGAGCTCATCCAGGAGTATGAGGATCGCACCCAAGAAGTCAAGCAAGCTCGCCTGGTGGGTGAAACGCACCCTGAAAGAGAGGTGGAGTGGATGAAGTCTTTGGTTGAAGGTCATCCAGCTCTGGCTGAACTTCCAGATCACATCAAGGAAACCTTGGTCCCACAACCGGGGGAGTGGAAGGATCTTCCTGCCAACCGTCATCAACGAAAGCGGCTGAAAGCAGCTGGCTCGGTGATCCTGCATTTGTATGCGGGAAAACGTGAAGGATTTACCCTGCAAAAGGCTATGGAAGAGCATGGCTTGGGAAGCCGTACCTTGGAGGTGGATTTACAACGGGGTGAAAATCATGATATGGCATCCCTGGATTCGAAGGCCTACAAGGGCCTGCTTCGACCTGTAAGATCTTGGGAGGAGCCATGGGGCATCAGTTCCTATAGCCCTGAAGAAATGGCCATGTGTCGAGAAGACGATGTCCTAATGTGGCGCCAGATCTTTCTCTTCCTGGTCGCGGACATGGCTGCCAAGTTGAAGGATTCAACAAATGAAGATGAAGAAAAGAAAAATAAGGACGAAGTGATGTTCCTACTCGAGCAGCCTTCCGACCCCAAGGACTACATGCCCTCGTGTGTCTCCTTCTGGAGTACGGAGCCATGGAAGAAGCTTCAAAGTGCAGCTCATCTACAAGTCCACTTGAACCAGGGAGACTATGAACCCTGGAAGGAGGATGCTCCGGTGAAGCCTACAACTTTGGCCGCCAATGTTGAGCTCCGCTTACCAAAAGGAAAAAATCCTGGATCAAAGAGTAGAGGAGAAGGTCAGAAGGTTCCATCATCCTCACTCGCTCGCTGGTTTCCGGGACTATGTCGATCTGTTGCTGAAGCTTGCGCTCTTCACATCAATGGTAATGTGGAGGAGGAACCAAAGCTGAAAAAGATGACATGGGAGCAGCACTGTCAAAACGGTCACGTGCCCTTCGGAAGAGACTGTCGCACCTGCCAGGAGCAAAGCGCTAAGTCCCGGCCTCATCGAAAGGTCACACACCCACTGGCAGCGACGCTGTCACTGGACACTGCTGGTCCATATCCTGTCGCCAAAGATGGTAAAGACTTGATGAAATACATCCTCGTTGGTACTTACACTTGGCTTCTTCCTCAAGAACAGCATCCGCCAGTACCAGACGATGAACTGGCTGACTCTGATGAAGTGCTGCTTGAAGAAGAGGATGAGGAGGAAGGAAATGAAAATAATGATGAAGAAGAGGGTGTGGCGGAAGAAGGCGAACAAGGTGAGGAGACGAAGGAAAGCGAAGTGGGTGAAGAAAGGGAAAACCCCGACCTGATCACCTTTAGACTCGCCATCCCGATGTCCTCAAAGGATCAGAAGATGGTGCTGTCTACGATCCAGCAAATGTACATCCAGCTCAGGGTGATGGGCTACCACGTGGCAAGGCTTCACACTGATCTCGGGGGAGAGTTCAGAGGAAGATCCCTTACCCAATGGTGTCGCTCAAGGGATATCCATCGCACCACTACAGCAGGAGTCTCCTCTCAGTCCAATGGACGTGCGGAAAGAGCGATTCAAACGGTGAAGTCCCACATCCGTCGGGCCCTTGGCATGGCTGGTATGCCAGCAAGTCGATGGCCTCAAGCATGCCACTATGTCCACGAGCGGGAGCGAAGACGCATGACCGATCTTGATCTGGGTGATGTCCCGCCCTTTGGTCATGAGCTCCTGGTCAAAAGAAGATTTTGGAAGACAAAAGAACTGGAAGCGACTCATGAGAAGGTCCGCTACCTGGCTCCAAGACCCGATGCTCACGGTCACTTGGTGCTGAGAGACAATGGCTCTACGGCGATCGTCCCGTATTTCATCATGAAGACCCAGGAACCTGAGCCAAGCCAATCAACTTGGATGGCTGTTACAAAGGCCGCTGAGGAGGCTGAAGGTCCCTATGAAGTCCGAAGAAGGATACGGGGAAAAATGGGAGCCAAAAGTATGAAGTTGGAAGAAGATGAGTATGAAATGGTTGAAGAAGAAAGAGAACGGCACCTGGAAAGGGTCTCCAACATTGTCCTGGAGGAAAGCGTGATCATGCTTAAGGACGAAATGAAGGTCATGGATGTCGTCTATGAGGAGCTGAAGAAAGTTAAAAGCGCTATGCCCAAAGAAGAGGAACCCGTCCTTCGAACCAGGGTGGTCTCCCCAAAAGAACTTCTTCGAGAAGCTCCCAAATGGGATGAAGCCATCCGGAAAGAGCTCTACCAACTGTTTGAGGAGAAAAAGGCTCTCCGCCGGATCGATGAAGATGAGTTCAAGTCCCTCCAAGAAAAGTGGGGAAGAAAGCTGGAGGTGTTGCCCTCGAAGGTAGTGATCACCGTGAAGCCTGGTCCAAGAAGAAAGATCAGACTGGTCGCCTGCGGCAACTTCGTTGACCCAGCCTCAGCGGAACAGAAGGATCAATGCCTATACGCCTCAGGTGCGGATGCCGTTTGCCTTCGCTACGTCCTGAAGCGATCAGCTGAAGAGGGCTGGAAGGCATCAATGCTGGACATTCGAACAGCGTTCCTCAATGCTCCGCTGGATATCGAAGCTGAAGGTCAAGAGCCAACCATGGTGGTATTGAAGCCACCATCCCTTCTTCTGAAGACGGGCCATGTGGGGCCTAAGGACTACTACCTGGCTCAAAAGGCTATGTACGGTCTTCGCCAGTCTCCGCGCTGTTGGGGGGTCTACCGTGATCAGGTACTGAGGAAGCTGACCTCACCCCAAGGACATCGCTTTGTTCAGGCCGAAGCTGAGCCTAATCTATGGAGTATTATGCTCGGTGATGGTGAAGATGAAGATCGTGAAGAAAAGATTGTCGGATTCCTGTTGGTCTACGTTGATGACCTGATGGTTACAAGTGATGAGAAAACCATCAACCAGGTGATCCAAGTTCTACAGGCCCAGTGGGAGACCTCTACGCCTGAGGAAGTGGGAAAAGAAAAGGTCAAGTTTTTGGGTATGGAAATCACCAAAACCATCGGAGGAGGATATCGGGCATCACAAGAAGACTACATCAAGGACAAAGAAGGGATTCCCGACGCAAAGAATGTGAAGGTCCCTATGTCCAAAGAAGCTGCCCCGATGCCTGAAGAACCTACTCCAGAGCTGGTCAATGCAGCCCAGATGCTTGTTGGCGAACTGATGTGGTTATCAACACGCACAAGACCCGATGTGGCATTCGCTACAAGTCGATGTGCCCAAGAAATTCTGCCACATCCATCCTGGGTGATTGAACAGGCCACCCAAGTCTGGAAGTACTTGAAGTCAACTCCCAATGAAGGACTTGAATTTCCACCTGGAAAGGGAGAAGGTTGGGATGGGGGACCAAAGTCTTTGGAGGTCTACACGGACTCAAGCTTTGCAGCTTCTCCAGAGACCCAAGCTTCCCACGGTGCTGTGATGGTTTTGTGGAATGGGGCGCTGATGTTTTGGAAAAGTGGTCGCCAACCATTTCCAGCTTTGTCCACTGCCGAGTCAGAGTTGCTGGAAGCCATTGAAGGTCTCCAAACTGGTGATGCAGTTGATAGCATGATCCAAGAGCATGAGGAACCCTATGTGAAGACCCTCTTCGTCAATAACCTTGCGGCCACTGGGTTCTTCTCCGATGGTCATGCCAACTGGCGCACCAGGCATTTGAGGCTGAGGGCACAACATGTTCGTTGGAGAATCACCACCCTCGACTGGCGAGTGAGACATATGCCCGGCACCATCATGATTGCCGACCGTGGTACGAAACCACTTTCAAGTCAGCGCACCCTGGAGTTGAAAGAGTTGATGTCCATGGTTCTACAAAAGAAGGTGGATGAAGAAAGGAAAGAAAAGGAGGACGGCCCAGAGGCGGTAAGTGAAGAAGAGAAAGAAAAGGAGGACGGCCCAGAGGCGGTAAGCGAAGGAAGAAAGGAAGAAGTTGAAGAAAGGAAAGAAGAAGATGAAGGAAGGCAGAGGAAGCTGAACTTCAGCGGGCGACAGCTGCAACTGGCGGTACTGATGGCGCTCATCGCCAAGTCAAGGGCCCAAGGAAATCAGAGTGGTGAAGATGAGAATCCCTCTGACCAGGCCGGTTCTGAGCCACTTCAGCTGTTCATGATGCTGTATACAATCCTTGTCATCTTGGCCACCCTGATCCTCCGACGCTTGTGCACATGGGGGATGGGGATGCTGCTGCTGGCCACCAATATCAACCACCAGTCCTTGGACCGCCTGCAAGCTCCACCTCCGAATTTTAAGGAAGCTCCATCACCGTGGACTGGCAAGGTCGTGAAGTCAACCGACCAAGTGCCAGATCAAAAGGTAAGAAAAAGGGAAAGGACAAGGAAAAGGGAGCCCTCAAGATGATGAACCTGTTGATTGGGCGTATGGTCCTGCTCGCCCCATGTCCGCTGAGGAGAGAAGCCAACTTGGGCTCCAGAATCGTGAATGGCTACTGCGATGGCTGTCTTCCCTCACGCCAGAGGAAAGGGCTCAGGCTGGCATTCCGCCAACATCAAGTTCATCTGGGCCCACATCTCAGTCGCACTTGGATGTCACTCGCACCGGAATCCAAGAGGAGCCCGAGCAAGAGATCCCGGCTGGCGATCAGGAGGTGGCACCTGGAGCATCTCCGCAAGATCCTCAGTGCGCCGAAGATGAAACTCTCTACCACCCTACAGAGAGGGATTACCGTGACATGATGGCCGATGAAGCATGGGACCCAACGCCTCCTCAACCGAGAGAGGCAGGCCCTTCCGAAGCTGCTGCAAAGGCATGCCCCAGGGCATTTCAACGTGATGGCGAACCGCCAATCGGAGATGGAGGCCGACGGTACCAAGGGATGGGTGTTTACATCACCAAGTATGGGCAGAAGTACCACATCTTCACTTCATGCCCCACGCTCACCTCATCCGTGCTCCGAAGCTCACCTCCATGCCATCGATGTGGCTTTACCATCGACATGGCCCATGTCCGAAGGGGTGAACACATTTGGTCTCGTGGATGGGGCGAGATCTACCATTTGGATGCTGCAAGGCCACCTGCCTGTGCAACTGGGGCAGAGAAAAATATGCCCCATGTGTTCGATGCCTCCAGGAGCTCCGTGACCGGGAGCTCAACATGTGAAGAAAAGTGATGGAAAGAAAAAAGGGGGGGCCGCCTTTAGTTGCTCTCGGCGACCTTCCTAAGGCCATTTTGGCCATTGTGGTGAAGCAAATGCCTGTTGGCATTACGGTTTTGATGAAGAAAGGAAAAAGGAAAAGAATGGGGTGCATACTGGGCTAATGGTCTGCAGGATACAGTGTAACTGTTTTCAACGAATGCATGGGCATTGTTGGTTTTGTCTTGCTGCCACACGGCCTGGTTGGCCTTTGAACTGACAGATGAAGAAGCTGTCGAACTACGGGGCTTGAGCTGATGGAAGGCCTGCCCTCATCACACATGCTGGAAGAAGGGTCCTATAGACCTGGAGGTGAGGAGGATGGCATCATGTTGTCTTCAATGAAGACAGGGGGAGTGTTGATGCATGACCCCTGCGCAAGGATGACATAGCTTTTCATGTGTGCTGTTCGATGCAGCCCTTTTGAATGGAGCGAGAGAGCTTCATCAAGACCTTGAAGGAAGGTCAAACAAAGACCCTAGGTCACCAGAAGAAAAGGCGCGTGTTTTCCCGGAGGGTTTTTCACGTGCAGCTGGTTTCGATTCGGGGTCACGGCCATGTCCCACCAACAAATATATATATATATATATATACAGTTATACATATATATATATAGTTTATTACACGTGCTGCATGTTTAAATATATTGTCTCTATACTGTATATACATACCCCAGGGATCCAAGTCTCAGAAGGTATGACTGGACTCTCCCCGGCACCGTGCCATGGATCCTGTGTCTCCGTCCTCACTCACCGTGCAAAAAGGTTGTCATGGTTTTAGGTTGCTACTAGTAGCGAGGTCCCTTGTTCCCAGTAGCGATGCCCTTTGTTACTTGTAGCTTCCTTGCTCCTAGTAGCAAGGCTAGGAGCCCCTAGTCGCTTCCTTGTTCCGTTCGTAGCGATGCCAGGGGCATAAGACTTGTATCGTTGTCCTCCCAGGCATGTCACTTCGCCTCCGGGAGCGAAGCAACACTCGGCTGATCAGCGCCCGGGGGTCCTCCGCGGTGAACGATCGGTGCGGGCCATGACACGTGAGTCCTCCATCCTCCAACTGCCCAAGTCACAGGGGTGTTCATCACTTTGCCTGCAGAAGTTCCGAAGGCTCCTCGTGAGGCAAAAATGAATGTGCGGTAAACCTGATCAGTTTCAAGTCAAGTGCTACTTGTGCCAGCTTCGCCAAATAGGTACGTGCCATGCTGGCAACATGCGGTGATTTGTTATGACTTTCATGGCAGACATGAGAAGTCCAACACATTCCAATGAGAAACCCGCCTTTGCTCACGATTTGCCAGAGTAGCGGCAGGTATTTGCGCTATGCAGATGTTTGTGCCTTCCATCATTACCCTGCTTGGCATCCTGCTAACGAACCTGGCAACATGGATGAAGTGAAGCAGGTTCCCTTGATTTGGGAGGCCGTGCATGCCGCTGACAAACAGCATTCTCCATGTTTGGCTTGGGTGTCAACGTTGTCCACTGTAGCAGTTGCTCGTTTGGCTAAGTAAATCGTCCCATGCGCAAATTCACACCTCGACACAGTGCGTGCAGCTGGGACCAACGGATGCACTGGCAATTTAAAGGCTACTATACCTTGCAGAAGGCTTGTCATAAACACACGAAAACATAGAAAGGATCCCTCGAAAGGTGGCTTGTAGCGGCTTGTTGGACATCCCTTCAGTCGGTGATGTGTGCTCAATTGGTTGGACACAACATAGCCGGCAGCAGTGAGGGTGGTATATGCTTCTTCGAGTTGAAGTCCTAATTGGCTGTTGATGGCGATGTTTGTTTCGCTGTAGCCATTCTAGGATATTCTACTGTAGGATTGGGTATGTGTTTCTTCATGCTTCGAAGAACCTTTGAGACTTAATGAATCTTCCAGTTTGATGGCACCTTCACCATGTTCATCCCGGAAAGCAACCGTCCCGTTTTCAGCGCTAGGCCTTTGCTCGGGCTGTCGCGGAAACTTTCCCGGAGAAGCCGTTGCTCATTATCGAGGCCATTCACACAATGGGGTTTGGAGTTGTTCTACTGAGATCTACTGAGAGTCGGGGAGAGGATGATCTTGGGTGGCAGTGTCAACTCGGGAACACTGTGTACCGACTTTGCCTGCCAACCTTTGTCCCATTCTTCTGCACCATTGTTGGAAGGTGGGTCAGATTGGTGCATACATATCGCGGGTGACGGGCTTTACTGTTTTGGCTTGCTGTGCATAGCTGCCCAAGACTACCTGGTGACAACGTGAGTTCTTTCGTGAGATTTCTTCCAGGATGTCATGCCCTAATTCATCATCCTAAATCCAGCCCTGACGTGCAGCGTTTGTAGGTTTGTTTGCCTCCTGGTTCTGGAAGGTGGAGGTGTTTGCGGGATAGACTGGGTGACTCGTGGGGGGCCCTCCGCGCGCCGTGCGCGTGCGCCTCCGCGGCCTCATGTTTTGTTTCGGCAGGGTCATCACCAGAATCTGTAACTGGTAGAATGGACTTCAGGGAGACAAGAGGTCTTGGTATGTCTTGGTGACTTTGTGCTTCAGAGGCCTGCACCTCTCCCAAAAGCACAAGTTGATGACCTTCCCGCCACACACGCAAGTGGACAAGCTTTTGCTTTGCAGAGGCACCATGGCCCTATAGACAGATATTGACACCCTGCGGGGTCACCCTACACAGGCGCCGGCGGCCTATATGCTTATCATGGCCCCAGTGAATTGAAATGGAGCGAAGAATATCAGAGTCCTTGGCTGAGGGGGGGGAAGGCGGTGAGTCCTTGGGCAGAGACTTTGGGTGTCCATATGTAGCATGGACAAGCAATCCATGTTCCTTTTGCTGGCTGACACTGTGCCAACGTGGTGAAAGAAACATGGTGGGACACCGTGGACACCGTGACGGACATGGTGTCCCACGACAATAAGCTTCATGTCTCCCTGGTTGTGCGAACGGGCTGATTCTTATGTTTATATGGGTAAATCACATCCTATTTGTTTATGTATGTGTATTTCTTCGGGTTTCTGAAGCCCGACCGAGTCTCAGGTGTTTGTGTGCATCCCTGGTTCTGGTCGCCTGCGGCACTTTGGCCTGTCTCCCAGAAGGTGCCGGTGCCAAAGCCTTTACCAACCATCATCATCCAATGTTACAGGTATTAGACCCAACGTCTATATACTGTATACGCCATCGGATCCCCAACTCAGATTCGCCGGTTGCCTCGCCATCGGTGGGTGGTCTGCATGGTGGGCAACCCACGTCGCCCTAGTTGGCAAAAAATCCACCAATTCAAGCACTTCCTGTTGCCATCTTGTTTCGCCTGTTTTCATGCCGTCAGGTAAGTTTTTGTGGGTTTTGCAATTGATTTCGTGTCTGTTTGCAAATGGATGAGTAGCATTGAGTTGGGCAGCACACATCATACTGACAAAAAGGAACAGTTGATGATGGCTTGAACCAACCAGACGCTTCGTTCGAGAAAAAAAGCGCAGAACGTTCGCCACGAGTCCGTCAAACGAGGTCTCCATCTTCAGCAACCCACAGATCGCGGGCCTGGCCCTGCAGTTTGCCGACCTCCTGGTGGATCCCAAAAGCGACCAGCATCGCTCCAGAGGTCTCAACAACAAAGGCCGCAAACGCGAAGAGCGCATCGCATGCGTTTGACGGATTCTGATGGCATATGATTGCATTTTTGGGGTTTTCTTGTGCTAAATTTGATAATGACGCTTCTGCTGGCAATGCTGATGCTATTGGTCCCACGTGGCATTTCACGCATATTTTGTGAGCCATTGCTCCCCCTTCATGTTTGTGTTTAAATGCACACTTCAAACGCAAGTCTGACAGGATAAACATTTCTAAAAGCAGGGCTTACCCACATGGATTTCATTGATGTTGAATGTTGCCTTTTCTACCCTTCAAAGGCACATTTGCAATACAACCGTGTGAAATGCAACCAAACACGACCGCCCGACTTGGAGTGTATGAGAGATGGGATCGATCGCACGCCACCAGCCTTCTCATCCGAAACTTCTCCTCGAGGTGTCCTAAGCCTCACTCGAGCACCCAAGTTGGCCTTCAAGGCTCTCCAATTCCTCCGCATCTTGCATCAACTTGGACGCTACGAGGGCCGGGGCTTCTGGCATCGCGGACTAGGAGCGTTCAGACGCTGCGAGGGCGGCTCGCCTGGGCCTAGGAACAGGGGACGCTACGAACGGAGCCGCTTCGAGACTTCGAGATCTGAGTCCGGAAAACCACCCAGTCCGGAAAGGCCAAAGGTTCGGTGGCGACTCAAGAGGACCATGTAGTGGGCCTTGCACCTGTTTTGAGGGCGCTCTGTGTACACCCTGTGAGACATGAATACCATCCGAAATGCAGCAAACAAATTCTTATGCGTCTCGCTTCACGGTAGCCCGGACGGATATATTATATGTACACAGCCTCTAGGAGTTGAGTTCTCCGGCGTTTGAATATCATATGAAGACACCAAATATGCTTCCAATCCAGTCTGGGGTAGAGTAAGATGCTGTTTGCCAGCTCTTTGAGGGCTTACTCCGGTCCACGTCATACATGACGCCGGCAAGAATTTGTCACTATGGTCCATGATTCATGATATAAATAATTACTAGGGGACATGGATATCTCTGAAAGTAGGGAATGTATGGCCCTGTGGTACTCACCCCTGAGCATGAAGATCAAGTCTAGGTGTGCTACATAGCTTTGGATTCCGAACTAGGATTCCAAGATGAAATGGTGAAAAAGCTGGGCTTAGTGAAATCACCATCCACCGTTCGCTCTTCGAGGCAACCGCAAGCCGGACGAGTACTCATTTTACCCTCCGAGGACACATCAGTCCTGGACTGAAGCAAGATTGAAGAGCTTCACTTCACAACCTGCAATCATTGCAATCCTAACAACATGTTTTTCGATCTAGCTATATTGTAATCCGCACCATGACTGCCAGTGCGTGCCAGTGCAAGTGCAGGATTTTTCTCGTCTCAACGGGCTCTTCAAGGTGTAAATGTCCGCGGAGAAAAGCGCCTCTTGCGCTGTGCCGTTGCGCTCAAGATGTCAAGACTCAAGAGTTGCTTGAGTGTTCGCGCACCAGCAAACTGAGCTCATCCCGTCATATCAAAGACCTGCTGCCTGGCATCTACACATCTCTGCTCTGCAAGCTAAGCAACTTATAGCTGACCAGTGTGTGATACTCCGCGTTTTTCAAGTGTTCAGTAGCGTTCAGTACCGGTTCTGCCGCCATCCCCGCAGCTGAGAATGGTTTGGACATGCAAGCCGAGCAGAGACAAGACATGATGAGATAACCAGCCACTTTAGCCATTCGGGACATCACCCATATCGTAGCCCAGCGAAAACGCGCAGATCTCGAACGATCTCCCGACGGCTTGTACAACACGGGCCTTGGGACGGACCTCCGGCCAGGAGAGGAAGTCAAGTGTCAAGAGTCAGCCTGGGAACAAGATTGAAGCTGTTAAAAGTGGAAGAAAACGGATCGCATTGGGTAATGCTAGTAGGTTGGAGGCCATTGCTATTAGGTTGGAGGCCATCGCTATTAGTTTCCATGGCTATTATATCTTTGTGTCGTTTTTGGACCACATGAAGCTATGTACAAAATCAGTTCGGCTGATCGGTTCGAAACCTCAGGCGGGGCCAACATGAAGACCGTGGAAAAGTGCGAGTCCTTCTTCTCCAGCAAATTGGCTTCGTACGCCCCCCCTGCCGTCGTGAGAATGTGTGGACTCGCAGAGCTGGAGGTGTTCGTGTCTCCAAAACGGACCTGACATTTGTGACAAGATGGTGCTGGTAGAGCTGAGCTGGACCATGAATGCAGCCTGAGTTGGTTCTAAACAGCGGGGAGGTAATTAGTGAACGGACTCGCAATGAGGACTGCCAATGCTTTTCTGCCTCAGAAACCACGCGGTTTCTGGTTCTCGATTGTGGCTGCGTGCCGCATGCCGCCCTGTGGCGAGAGATAGAGTCAACCAAAACGGAGCGAACGAGGAAAACCCGAGAACGGAGCCTGCCAGGTTTCTTTGCGAGCCTCGAAGTCTGAAGGGTGAGGCCTGGTAGTCGGGAGGTTGGTGGCTTGCGTGGAGGGGTGTGTCATGGTGTCTTCGATCATTCGTCACCCTCAGGATGACTAAGGATGACTGGGCGACCATGACACACCAACTGTCACCAACTCAATTGGGACTGCGCTCGCGTGGCAGGGCCTGGACCGGGATCCTAGGCCTGTTGTGTCAGCTGGTGCATCCTTTTGTGCTGGCAGACGTTCCCAGTGGTTTGGTCCGTCGACAGGTGTGGTTTTGGGGACCATCCTTGGACGCGGCACCGCCGGCAAACCTTTGAAAGGCAAGAACATGGTTCTTGTTCCGAAAGGGAGTATTTCCCTCCTGCTTTTGAGCTGCAATCTTTTTCGATCTTTTATGTTCCGATCAAAAGCACAATTGTTCCGATCAAAGGCGCCGACATGCACCTAGGACATCCTAGGACCTGTTATACCGATTTCGTTTGACGGAGTTTAATGATAATGGGTATATAAGCGATTTGAGCGATGTGTCCGTCACGATGGTGCTCCGCGCGGGCAGGAGGATGAGCTCCGTGCCCTTGCGCGTGCCACGGCCATGGAGAGTCGGGGGCGCCAGTCGGATGGAAGAGCGGTCGGTCGCGGGAGGTCGGTCTCCTTTCCCAAACGGCAATGCCCATGCCGCGTATAGCAGTCTGAACGGCTGTGTCGGCTGCCTACCGCATCCACCGGTAGTGCCACCGGTTCAGACCTTCCGAAAACGCAGAGTTCAGACCGCACCGGTGGGCGGTGGGAGGTGAAACGAAGTCTGAGACGCGGAACACGTGAACAGGTTTCTGCGGAGCTGGTTTCGTCCTTTCCAAGAATGCCATTTTAGAAAGATCCAGGTGTCAGTTGATGTAAGCTGTATGTTTTCCCCGTTTACGAGATGATGGCAATTCGCTAGCTGTGAACTGTTTGGAGTTGAACATGAGGTTATTGGATGTTATTGGAAGTCGCGGTCGGAAGGCACCCTGACATTTTCAACATGAGTGAGTGATGTGGCGATGCTGCTGATGACAATATGACAGGACATTTCGCACATTTGATTTTTGGTGGTCAATCGTGCACAAGCATAACATGACCTACTTGTCCAAAGAAGCAGATCTCAAAGCTGAAGAGCCTACCAGAGAATGTCCCGAATGTAGGTACCAGAGCTCACTTGGGAGAGAAATCAAGTGCCCTGGGCTCCTCTCGTCTTCCGGCTCGATGTGGCCTATGACCCAAGGTCAATCCATCTACGTGGAGAAAAGCTTCGGAGGCGAAGTGGGCCAACCATGGCTGGGAAGACCAGACTGCGACACGCCTCGCAGACTGCCCAGCAAGGATGCTGCGACTGTCGTGCTGCAACCGTGTAGGATGGGGCCGATGTTGTTTTCATGGCACATGCTTAGTCAGAGCTGCGGACACCGCGCTTGGACATGAGTGGACTGCGGTTTCGGGCGAAGATCCTTTGCACGTTCAGTGCTGATTTCGCAGCTTGTCAGGAAAATCATGGAAAATCCAACCAAGTGGCCCCTGAGACCTGATGGAGATGATGCTCCCATCACTATGATTATCCGTTTGAAGAAGCTTGAGACATATTCTCGAGTCGGAGTTTCATGGTCACCCACAAGCAGGCTCCACCAGGAAGACTGTCGCAGTATTGGGTGGTAATTTCACTGAAGTCGATGGGCAAATGTTCCAGACCTTGCACGTTCGTGCTAGATTTTACAAACGACGGCATCAACATGACAGGACTGCAGAGACTGCTTCCGGCGCCTCTCAAACCAGCTAGTTGGTAGCAAAATATGCTGGCTTTACGAAGGCATATTATACATATATATATATATATGTGTGTGTATATAGTGAATCTGACTGCACTTACGCGCACCGAGTGGGATGATGATTTGACTTATGCTGATGAATGATGCCTAAAGCAGGGGATTCCTCATGATTCCTGGGGTCAAATGCCATGAAGCATTTGACAAGATGTGATTGTTCCAAAAAAAGAAAACAACCCTTCAAAGTATGCACATGGTGTTCTGAAACGGACAGATTGTTATCCCTTCGGTTGTCGTTTGGTGTTCGGAACGCATGATGGATGCCGCAGGATGGGCGGCCAGTGCTGCGGCACCGACCAGGTGTGAGATTTGCCTATCTCAAGCGTTTAGGTCAAAGAGGCAACCGCCAGAGTCTGGAAGAGATCCCAACACTTAACTCAATGTTTTCCTTGCAGCAATTCCTGTTTCCACCGACTTGGTCTTAGAAGCCCGCGCCAGTTTTGAAGAACTGGCGCCCGCCGAAGCAAATACCAAAGTGATCAAGAGTGAATGCGATTGGATACAAATCTGAGCGATTCTGTCACCAGCCAGCTTACTTGTCCCAAGTTTTGGAGAGTATGGTTTCTCATTTAATCGCGAAGCAGATTTGTGCATTCTGCGGTCCGTCATTTGCAAATCTTCTCATCAAAGGGTGCGCAGCAAATCTGCTGATGGCTGAATTGAGTGATCCGCCTTTGCTTTGACAGGATGACCTCAACAACCTCCTCTACCTCGATGTCAGCTGGAGTCCCTGCAGGCATGGAACCAGGTATATTTTACATCTACTTGCTTTGATGCTGTTGGTAACCATCCAAGGTCAAGTATTTGTGACTGCATCCTTCCTATGTAGCAAGAAGGTTGCAGAATAGCGAAACGCAGATTGTCTAATTCAAGAGTCGGAGATAACTTATGGGATGTTCTCCACCAAATGCTCAAGCAATTCCAAGAATTCTGAGCACGGGCCGAAGACATGTCCAAGCACATTTTGTTTGGTTTTCCATTGGCGAGGGCAATGACCTGTTTGCCCCCCTGATGCTTTCTGAAGCGGGCAAGCTGTCCATGTTGTTTCCCGGAAGTTTTTTCATGGCAAACGACGTGTTGTTAGAAGAAAGAGGGAGGATTCAAACAACCTATCTGCACCAACACCCCAGTGTCACCCCATCAACCGCCTCTCAAGGGACTGCCCCATGCGCTGCCTCATTGTTTAGGATATGGCCCAGATTGGCCCAGTGTGTCAATGTTGTTTGAGTCTCTCTTGAAATCATGAGGCTCTTCCCAAGTCACCATGTTCAGCACCAATGAACCACTCAGCCAACTCACTGAATCACCAAACCATGTGTTCAACCGAATGAAAGCAACCTGCCACGAGGCGTCTATTCCAACGGCTCGGACACCAAAGTCGTCGCGACTTCGGAAGTCGCGAGGAATCATCGATGTCCCAAACAGTCCCAAACAATGGAATTATGATGCTCATGAAGGCATCAGCCTCATGTCAAAAACAAGCCTGACGTTGGACTTAAGCTCGAGAATTTGTTCGGCTTCTAAGAAGATTTGCCCACTTCAAGAGGAGTCATTTTCACGATTGTTTCCATTCTATACCTTGTTCATCAATCCGAGCCCACAAAGAACCAACATGAGTCCAATTTTAAGGAAATTGTCAGGAAATGAGAAGGAATCCAAATTCATTCAGATCTGAAGTCAAAGAACCTGATTTGAATATCAATGAAGTATTCGGCACGGGGGCTTTGCGGTTTTCAGGGCTTGGATGCCAAATCCTTCTCCAGGCTTGGTGGATTCCACGTTTCGCGTTGCTTCCCGTCGGCTCGTGACCTGAATGTCCTAAGGGAGACCCTTGGCGGGAACCTTCAGCGCACCGATAGGCTGTCAGGACCTAAGAGTGTTCTGGCTATCGATGTGCGCCATGCAACTCCTATGCTTCTACTTTGAGTGTAGCCACCACTTGTATTGCGGGCCGTGATTTCAAGAAAATGTCAACAGGCAACAACCCAGAGTCACAAACCTCACAAACCGGCTCCACGGGTGTTTGTGCTACAACATCACCTCATATAACCTCCCAGCTGCATCAACTAGACATGACCAGAGTGGCCGTGCTTCCAGCATGGAATTGCATGGATACCTAATTCCCGAAGATCATTGTCAAGCTTGTTCAACATGGACTGGAGCTAATGTTAAAGGTCCTGGGTGACATCACCTGAGAAGTGTTTGATTCGGTTTGAGCAGCCCAGCATCAATTAACAAATGTACGCGGTGTATATAATTGTATATATACATATATCCAGCTGCATTTGTTGCACCACTCTCTAGGCGACCCATACCGAAACCTTATGTTCAGGTCATGGATGGTGCATCATCACAAAATCCATGATGTGAGACAACGAATTGCCAACTCTTATGAGTCAAGATTTGCGGTGCAGCAATCGGCATCCATCAAGGCACCGGCAGCCTTCAAGCTCCTGTCACAGGTCCTGTTCTTCGTTGTGGCCAAGAAAAGCACAGCATGGGTTTGAAAGAGCTCTTGATTCTGCGAACAATTTGTTAGACTACACCTGCAACTGCTCTAAGCACAATTCTTCAGATTCAGTAGTGGCGAAGATTTCCGATATGGTGAATGAGCATGAATGGTCAATATTTCCAAAGCAGGGTGCCCTTTGGGAAGAAGGCATGCAGGTGCAAAGTTCAGAGGATCGTGAGGTTGCAGTAGCTATAGAGACACTTTCGGGCGGCGCAGGGGCTTTACACGGCAGCTTGAGACTTCCCTTGAGTCTGGCACTCGAGAGTGGTTAGCCTGGTAGACTCTGCATGTTCATTGTTTCATATTGTTTCATATGTTGGTGTCGGTGCAACAGTGATTTTTGTGTAGAGTTTTTTGGCTTGAAGCTTCTTTGTTGCGCTTTGCGGTTTGTCGTCAGCAATGTTGCTTGGTCGTATCTCTCTTACCAGCGCGGAGGTGTTTTTTTTCTAAGTCCTGATGAGCCCAAGATCTTGACACCCCGCAACTGCTTGGGCTCAGGCCGTTGGTCAAATATTTGTAGAAGCTAGACGCGGGAAGGGGGGCCTGTAGCTTGCATCCAAACTGGCAGTAGTGCTGAGATCCTACTTTTAGCATAGTGATCACAACTTCACATCTGCCAAAAAAACACAAGTTGTTGCCCTTTGGTGGGGGAAAGTAAACACCAAACGGCCTATAAGCTTATACCCTCGGTGGGCCATGAATTTGATTGCCAACTATGTGGATTTCAGCGCGCACCAATGCTTGCCGGCTGTGCTACGCTGGTGTGACACTGCTGGCATCTACCCGTTGTCACTGCTTGATGCAGAAACACGAGCTCAGCTGTTGGAGACATGGTCACGCTATTCTGTCATGCGGTCAATCCAGATGGAGGTACATGTGCGGGGCCATCAATGGGAGAGGCATGGCCGTTCGATCGTGGTCAAATCTTAAACAAATCATCAAGCGCACACATATTACATAGTATATAAATTCAATATTCAATTAACTTTTGGAGTACATTTCTTTCCACCAGGCCAATCTCCAGGGATCACTTTTCACCTAGCCTCCTCTAGGCTAGAATGTCGAGGAGGCCTTTGTTTTCCCTCCGAGCTCGCAGGTTGCTTGCCAATTCGTGTACCGGAACCATGGTGCGGGTTCAGCCGATGATCACTCGGCTCGGGCGCACCAGCTACACGGTTCGGAACGAAGTGACGTCGTCCTCCTTGCCGCTGGCCACAGTGGAAACCGTGATGGTGCAGTTGGATGAGTCGCTGTCCAAATCGGTGCCATTGAGTTGCAGTGAGCAGTTGAAATCCATCCTGAAGCCGCAGAGTACTGCAACTGGAATTAGATGCCCAGTCGCCGGTAAGAGGCCTTCTGCTTGTTTTTCCTGGGGCTGTGAAGTGAGACCTTCAGATTGTGACTTGCTGGGGCACATGAACAATGCCAGCTACATCACACTGGTGGAAGATGCCCGTCGAGCTGCTGGCTTGACCTTTGATGTACAGGTCGCCTCGATTGAATACCTTCTCCAAGCCAAAGCCTTTGAACTCCTCCAGATCGCCCTGTGGCGTGACCAGCCATCCGCACAAGGTCAATCGGTCATCGGATATGAGATGAAGGGAGAACAAGGGCTGGTGGCCAGAGGAAGTTTGGTCAGTTTCTTGGAAGCCAAGCTTTGACGTGAAGTTAGAACCGTGAATCCAGACACACCTCAAGGATGTGGAAGTCCATGAAACCTCCCAAGCCTTGAGGTTAACAATAGCTGTTTGGTTGGTAGCTGGTGATCTTGCCAATGTTTCCTGGGCTCGACAGGGAGCAACTTCGCTTGGCAAGTGTCCTTGGACGCTTCAACCCAGAGGGGTGAGCGCGAGGAGAGTCTGAGACATTTTTTGCACCAGGTAGGGGACAGTGCCGGAAGTTGGGCACGCGGTCCTTTGGTTTTCTTTTGCTCCCTGCAAGTCAAGCAGAGGACGATTCCAGTGGAGGCAAAAGTGAACCGCAATGCAGCTGTGCCATGCAGGAACTTGATTCTTGCTCCAGGCAAATATTCCTTTATGTTCCTTTCTTCATCCGCTGATCCCATTTGCCAAGGTACTCGTACTGTCATCCTACTAATTTGTCCCCGTTTAGATTTAGACATGCATGACTTGGCCTGTTCGTGGCAGATGATGATTGTATGTTGTGTGCTTCACCTATGTGGGATCCGCTCCAAAAGCTCTCCCAGTGACTTCGCCTGACCTATGGGGGATCTGCTCGGTCTCTTTGTATGTACGTATTGGTGGTCCGTCCAAAAACGTCGGAACCGGACTTAGATTGAGCATACACTGAAAACCGATGAGGAAAACCCAAGACCGATGCCTTTGCATCAAACCGATATGGTATGCAGTATGTTTTAGTCTGTTAGTGATATTCATATATATTCATCAAACATTGGAAACCGATGAGGAAAACCGAAGCCCGATGCCCTGTCCTAATGACCGCTCCCAGATGTAGGGAATTTCGGACAGCAGTCGGATGCCTAATGTTTTCTTGCAGCATGATTTTCATGCCTCTTTGCAGGCGGAAGCTTTGTTGGGAGCCCAAGCCCTCTTCTCAAATGCCACTTAGCAGCAGATAGCTGAGATGGCTTGGTTCGCACAATATGATCGATATGAATCGATATGATGGAATGTTAGAGCTGTCCATTTGCAGGAGATAGTAGAGTCGGCCATCATCCTAACAAGCAATTGTGCAGTGGTTTGTTCTTCGACTTGGAACCCACAGAGGCAGAAAATTTAAAAAACAACCTCTATACATGAATTGTGAGCAATGTTGCCTAGTCACGAACAATGCCAGAGCTACCTATAACAAGAAGAGCCCACGAATCATGGACCTGACAAGTGCATGGAAGTCCGGTTTGGCTTTAGGTACTTTGCCCAAATGGTCGGGAGTCGTACCTTGCACCCCATCCACCTCCTGTTTGAATCCTACAAAAGACTTCATGCATTTCAAAAGCCAATGGACATTTGCACTTCAGAGTATGGCATCAACCTTGAAGGGCTTCTCTCAGCAACCTTTTTCAAGGGAGTTGGGGGGCTGTGTAGGTGATATAGATGGTGGTGGTGGTGGTGGTGGTGGTGGTGGTGGTGGTGGTGGTGG